ATTTTGCAGGGCTCTGGCAGTGCTCCTCCTGTTCCTCCTGCTGCTGGGTTGTTGCCCTCCTACAGCCTCCTCCATGTCTCCTGATGTACTGGCCTGTCTCCTGGTAGCGACTCCATGCTGTGGACACTACGCTGACAGACACAGCAAACCTTCTTGCCACAGCTCGAATTGATGTGCCATCCTGGATGAGCTGCACTACCTGAGTCACTTGTGTGGGTTGTAGACTCCGTCTCATGCTACCACTAGAGTAAAAGCACTGCTAGCATTCAAAAGTGACAAAAACATTAGCCAGGAAGCATAGGAACTGAGAAGTGGTCCCTTTATTTTTTTGAGCAGTGTATATATATCTCCATTTGATATGTTGTATGATGTGGTGTACCTTTCTAACTTCAAAACTTAATTTCTCAGATAACAGACTGACTTCTGGGTCCTACTCTAGCCCATCGAGAAGAACAAAGCTTAATTTCTCAGATAACAGACTGACTTCTGGGTCCTACTATAGCCCATCGAGAAGAACTATAGCCCATGCAGAAACTTGCTAACTGCGGGGTCAGTCCCACGTGACATGTGGCAGAGCACGCCTACAAGAAAATAATGGGAATTGGGGGCACACCCAGAACATGCATTTCTAAGTAGTGTGCTATTATGAAGACCAAAATATATACAAAATATAATAAAAGGAACAGCGCACACAAAAATCCAGTTTTCAATTTTACAAGGCTACTTAAAATCACCTATATTAACAAACAATATGGGGATTCAGTTACACCATATGACCATATTGTGTTAAGCCCAACACCACGTCACCATACCCCAATATCGGTGGGTTCAATACTAATTTAAACATGGGAGATTTACATGCTAACTTGCAGTAGTGACTACTTAAACAACTTCCAGAGACTCCTCAATATATGCTTTCCTGTGGTCACTTCCAAAGGGTCACCCCATCCTGTCAGAGCAGGAACCTGCCTACCGACACATTGCTAGTGGGGCTGCCAAGTTGTAGGTACCTGCTCTGATGCTCTCTGTCAGGGGTTGGGGAGTGGCCACCGTAGTGGTCTGCTGGGATCTCTCTGCACTGATTTCTCAGTTCCTTTGCACACCTTGTATTGATGTTCACGCTCAGTATTGATGTGAATGCCCTGTACTGATGTGAATGCCCCATACCGATGTCGATGCCCTGTACTGATGTGAATGTCCTGTACTGTGGCATCACCACAGCATCAGTACAGAGCAAAAGGGAGCTGCCCATTCAGTACAAAGACTGATGCCACCAACAAACAACTGGTCCCCAGGGATGAGGTTGCACTCTAGCTACCATTGAAGATTAAAAAAAAAGGGAGGCAGAGTGGATCTAACTGTAAACATCCTCTCTACCCCCTAAAAATGAAATAAAATGTAATGTAATTTTTTTTTACTGCACCAATGCCACAAAAAAGCCCAGTTACATTATGTTCGACAACACCTTGACACGCCTCACAGGTTCTGACACACTGATATTTGGAGTGACAAGATCAAAATAGAACTTTATGGTCACAACCATAAGCGCTTAGTTTGGAGAGGGGTTAAAAAAAAGGCCTTAAGTGAAAAGAATACCATCCCCATTGTGAAGCATGGTGGAGGCTCACTGATGTTTTGGTGGGGGTGTGAGCTCTAAAGGCACGGGGAATATTGTGAAAATTGATGGCAAGATTTTGGGCTCATTTTTGATCTTATGTGGAAAGGTATCCTCAGGCCGTTCAGCAACGAGTGATGGTCAACTTTGTAGACGTGGTCTCTTTCAATATACTATTTTGTCACAGTGAGAGTTCACAAGCATTTAAAATACTACACCGTATTCCATTTTATTTGTCCTCTTGTTTTACATATTGTACCATCTTTATTTGTATTGAGGTCACTTGTGAAGGTGCTGCTTCCCTGCATTCCCTTTCTATATTTACCTACGGTCAGACGGAAGAGACTCTGGTTAGGAAGTCCGAGTTGCCCCATAGACTTTGAACAAGTGCTAGAAATCCCATCTTTTTATTTCGTTTTACATTTTCCAATGTCGTTGGCTTTTTTTTTCCATGTACACTCTTATAACAAAGATGGTATAAAATAAAAGCAATTTAAAGACAACAATAAATTTTATTATTTGCCATTTCGTTCAGGTGTATTTTAACATTTGTTGTTTTTTTTTTGCATTGCTATTATGGTGGCTGTACAAATATACTAAAAACAATAAAATAAATACATTTGGAGCATCTCTGTTAGCATACCATCTCCTAAATCCGGACACTGCCATGATGTGGTTAGCTAGGAGGCGTCTACTCACTAACACCATGGACTGTGACAAATTGTGATCTGTCGTGCAGGGCAGGGTCCACTCACTGTGTGCATGGTAAGTACTCTCACACTGAATACCTACAGTCATTACAGGGGCTGGTCAAGGGTATGGATTTATTCCCAGTAACTGGCTGTATCCCCAGATTACATAAAACAAAGGCTGTCAGTGCCCAGTGCAGTTTACAGTAGGGAGATAGTGAGGCCATCTCTGGCATTCTCCCAGACTCCCCAGCGGATTGCAGACTGCGCATTGAAGAGCAGTGTAAGTAGAAGAGCCGTGTAAGTCACGCCCCCTTCTCCTGACATCATCAGGAGAAGCCGTCCGACTTACCTGGCTGCTTTGTTCTGGCAGGCTGCAGGGAGAGAGAGGTAATGTGAAAAATCCGAGTCCCCAGCCACAGGCAGGGGATTCTGATTTTTGCGCCCCCCTGCTCTGGTACCATAAGGTGGTCGCCTGTGCTGCCTTATGGATGCTCCAGGCTTTAGAATGTGGCACCCCATACTCAGTGGCACCTGGGGCGGACTCCCTCCCGCACCCCCCTTAGTATGCCACTGAGTAGTAGTACTATAGTAATTTATTAATAGAAAATTCAACATTCCACAACCAACACAATAGATATTGACAGTCTTGCCCAAAAGCTTAACATCTAAAAAAAAAAAAAAATGCTGTTCTAAAAATACATGTGCCTGTCCTTGTGTCAAATGATTCCATGCTATAAATATTTTGTTCCAACAAAAAATGAATAGGTTTAAATTTGACAAAATTCATTCTGTTTATGTATTGTTTACTCTAGCAATATTTAGCTATACCAATGTTAAAGGGTTAGTATTCACATCAATGTTTTTGGTGCAGAGACTACCCTGAACCATAACCCAACTTGGAGAGTGCTTTATTAACTGCATGGATGTGTAAAACTCACTGTAGCAGTAAGACTGGCCCACCAGAGCTGTCACTCAGGCAGTTGTAACATTCACTTCCCGGCTGCCTGTGTCAATTTTGCCAGTATTGCACATTCAGTATGTGCATGTCACGTGTACAACTTGAACACAGCTATCATTTAAGATCAGATCTTATAGACCAGATTAATGGATTTTTCTTACAATGTGTGTTTTCCTGTGCAGTGTAAGTATTAATATTATTAATAATCATAAAAGAACATGATTTTTATTTTATTTTTTATAATTTTCTTTAAAGCATTTTCTGCATAAAACATTCTGAAAAGAGGGACTTCATTTTCCAGAATATTTAGATTACATATATAATCTATAAAGATTGGAAGATTAGGTGAAATACTATTTCAAACAACTACATCGCTCACTTTAATTGCCTTAATAAACCACACATGTTCATAATATACTGAATAATTGTGTATTTTGCTTTCTACCACCTCCATGTGTTCAATAGCAAATCCTGCTTCTCTCAGATCATCCTTTATGGACTTTTCATCAGATGTTAATACGTGAAATTTGCTCTCACCTACGGTGTAATATTTTCCATTAAATACTCCAAATAGCAGTAGATGCCCACCCAGTTTTAGCAGGCATGACACTTTTTTCAGGTTCCTGCAGTAATCATTGTGGTCTTCAGAAACGATATGCAAGATATACATACTGAGCACACAGTCGACTTTTGGTAAAACTACTGGATCTGTAACATTTTCCTTGGTGAAATCACATTTCAAAATGTGTGAAATTTTTCTTCTTAAAGTGTTTTCTATTTCCTCGCCTTTGAAACTGAAAAACACAATAAAACTAGTAAAAGTTTCATAAATGTAGACTAGTGGTTCCCAACCCAGTCCTCAAGTACCCACTAACAGGCCAGGAATTAAGGATTACCCAATTGTGTCTCAGGTATTTTTAGAAAAAAAAAACACACTTTAGACATAACAGGGTAATTCCGAAATCCTGGACTGGTAGGAGGAACTTGAGGACTGGGTTGGGAACCCCTGATGTAGACAATATAGACAACAACAAAAAACATGTGATCTGCAACATTTCTTTATTAGGAGCATTGGTTTGTTCAGTATTTCACTGTTTTATTGTAATCTTATCTGGAGATTTCTATTCAAAATGCAGTTGGTAGAAGCCGTGGGCACTGCTTTTTTTGAAGGAAACTCACTCTACAGACTGGATGTGTGGGAAAGCTTTGATCTTCTCAGGGCGAAAGGTGTGAGTGGTTCATCATTTGCCAACTCAGTAACTTATTTTACTCAGGAAAAAGTGAGTGGGTAATTGGATCCCCTCTTGCACTCTGTCATTTTTGTTACATTTACAAGTTTATAAAAATCTAAACACTTAACCATCAATAAACCTTCTGCTGCTTAATAACATCACAGGAATAGGTCCGAAGGATAACAGGTGCTTCCTAAACAAGTGGAGCACTTGCTATAAGTTGGACAGACCAAAGCCTCCTAACCTGAAATAGGTACATGGTGCATTGAGAAATAATGACTTTTGAGAGACGCATCTATTCTTTTGAGATGTGTGAATGCCAATATAGCATAGAATGCAAAAGATAAATAATTGTCAAGTCGAATAGAATTATTTTCCAGACTGACTTCATAGATAGGTCCCACCTTCATTTTCTTCATTATTACTACTCTAAACAACTCTGTAAAATATATGTCTCAGGAATTATTAATGTGGTTTGAAAAATATGTCCATACGTTCGATTTTTACCTTGTACCTTGCAATTCGGCCATAATCGATAAGGCATGGGTCCAGTCAAGAAAATCTGACTCTTTACTCTTCCACTTCTCCAGTTCATTCACACAGAGATCACTAAATTCTAAAATAGTTATTCTTTTGAAAGACTCAAAAATGGGCAACAGATGGTGAATGACAGGGCCAGCAGAAATATCAAGTAAACAGTCTCCTGTAATTTGACCTGCGGAGAAAAATATACAAGTTCAAATAGTAAACAAGCAAAGCAAACAGCCATCCAAAATTGCTTTTTTTTGGTCATAATCTGATTTTCACCTGAATTAAATTGATAGAGATGACATTTTTTAATACACATTAAATATTAAAGAGGATTATTAATTATTTCATATACTAAAATCAAATTCCACCACAGACTCAAAATAGTCATCTGGACATCTCACTACTCAAGCCAAAATCCACACCAACAATATCTGTTGGATCATGTAGTTCTGTAGTAAAGTAACTGATTTGAAATATCTGAGGGTGAAGCTGTGGCATAAAGAATTGGTTTTATCACCTTTTTAATCCTAAAAAATATCATAAACACCCATTTATATGAACTTTCTGCATAATTTCATGCACTTCATGATTATATCCTTGTTTCAAACATAACATTTACATAGGACACGAGGCCATGCGTTTAGACTGGAAGAAAGAAGATTTCGTCTAAGGCAAAGGAAAGGGTTTTTTACTGTAAGAACAATCCGGATGTGTAATTCTCAGCCTGAAGAAGTAGTTTTATCAGAGTCCATACAGATGTTCAAACAACTACTAGATGCATACTTGCAAAAACAGAATATTCAAGGATATAATCTTCCAATGTAGGGTAATAACTGCTTGATCCAAGGATAAATCTGACTGCCATTCTGGGGTCAAGAAGGATTTTTTTTCCTAGCTTGTTGCAAAATTGTGCTTCAAACTGGGGTTTTTTGCCTTCTTTTGGATCAAAAACAAATGTGAGGTAGGCTGAACTTGATGGACGCAAGTCTCTTTTCAGCTATGTAACTATGTAACTATGTAACTATGTGACATGTAATCCCATGATATATTACCCATATACATTTTTAGTGTAGCAATATTGTTTACTTCAAAATTTAATTTCTGAAAATAAATTCAAAGAAAACTATACTAAAAAATCTAAGATATAAAAAGCTTAAAACCAGTCAAAAATTAACAGATATATATTTTAGCCAGAACCACTTGTATATATAAAAATTGCCATAGTTTTTAATATTTAATGAGAAATCCCAAACTAATATAAAATTGTAGATAGAAGATTAAATTAAGAACACATCTATGACAGCCTTTTGGAACATGAACATATATAATTGTATTTACCACATATGATAAAGTTGTATCTATACATGCTAGACAGCTGCCATGTGAGTTGTAGGTGGACAAAAATGTAAGAAAGTGAGAATGTCAAGTATTATTACATGTAAACAGTATTAAGGTAACAAGCATTAAACATACCTAGACCTGCCACCTTGTAAAGTTGTTCAATTGGAAATTTTACAGCATCATCAAAGATATTCTTTTCAGATCTTCCAGAAAAATAAGTATTAAAGAAATCTTTTGTATCCCATTCATGAAGATGATAGCGTTTGTGAGAGCTGGAGTCCATCCTGAATTCCTGTGAAGTTCTATGATTCTAACGTAGCAATATGTTATATATGTATGGAATACTGTGTTAATTTATAGTATCGGTTATTGTATATTAATGAATTAGTGACACGAGATTATGTTACAGTGTGCTCATGACTTCTGCTGAACAAATAATTGTTCTGGATTAATCCCTCAGATAACCTTTTAATTATTATTCGGAACACTTTGGGACATATTTAGTAAACCGTAAAATGTGTTCAGCTTTCAAGGGGATGGCAACGTTTGGTTACAAATACCCTACAGTTTATAATTTGCCTTTAACCTATCATGTTTCATTGTTACGAAATTAGTTCATAAATAGAGGCACCCCTTGAATTTGATTGTGACCTATGGAGATCTGGCCCAATGAGCGCCATGCACTGTACTCCTGACCCAATAACATCATACTCTGTTCATCCAGTTCAAGCCTAAGGATCACAGTAGAAATGTCTTATAGTATGCACTAAACAATATTACTCAACATATGAAACATATGGGACTATTTACAAAACTCTGAGTTGCTTAAACGAACACTCCAAGCACTGCTGCAAGAGCACTGTAGATGTTATGGTGGTAGCAGAACATGGTGCCCCTCCCCCCATTTAAGTAGTGAGACAGTTTTAAAATGGTTTAACTTCTGCCATAAAATTCTCCTCACCTCCAATATCTCAGCCAGAGAGCTGGGAGCTTTATTAAGCTTTCAGGACCTAAACCCTGCAGTGCAGAAACTCACTGTCTGAAGTAGTGGCACCCTGCATGTCGCAGGTAAGAAGTCAATCCACTCTACTTACTATGTACAATGGATGGGGGAGGGGCACCAGTACTCCTGGCACTATAATCACATATTACATAAACGTGCAATTTAGATTTCAGGTCACTGCAAAAAGGAGCTTATTGATAAAGAATGTTCAAGAATCCTATAAACTTATGTAGATCTAGAATGGATCTCCATCCGCCTGTTAGAAACAGAATCTTTGTGTTGTGTCTGGTAGAGGAATAACCACTTCTCAAAGTTGAGATCTACAATACGCTCTTCCAGGTGTGAAATACTTGGGTCCTGGGAGGAAGGGAATGAGAGGCTTTGGATTGAAATGGTCTCCTGAAACATGGGTCTTGCAGTAGACAAGCTTTCAGTCCCTCTGACATTCTCTTGATCCATTCATATTGGAGGATACATACACAGAAAAGATACTGAGCCAAAGAGCCCAACTAGTAGACAAAGAGAGTCATATTTCTGGTATAACACAACCTATGAAAGCTTCTTGGCTGAAGACTATTTCCAGCTTAATAACCTGTAATGTCAACAGGCAAAAGGAAGATTATACCATACCAATCTTAGATCCTTAGAGATTTAGGTAAGTTTGCAGCAGGATTAAAAGCATGTGCTAGCTGCTACATAGGTTATTAGAGATGATCAAGACCATCTCTGCTCCATGGAGTCTCAGAGAGATCCCACATTGTTGAACAGGCAGAGTTGAACATTTAGCCAGACTAAGTACTTCATTGTCCACTTAGGAGCAGAGTCTCAGGTACAAAATCTGATATCCCAATAGATGAAGAAGCTAGATACTCCCTTGTGTTGAAAACTTCAGTGTTGAAAACTTCAGTGTAGAACCATTCCTCCATAATAAGGATATTAATGGTACCGGGAACTGGAAAAGATGCTCTGTTCTTTCTGACATCCAAATGAAAGGCTAGAGGTAGAAGGCTCAACATTAGAAGAATCTTTCAGATATAAGGACCTACGGACTCTGGAAATGAAATGGTCCACTTGAGCTGATTCTAGAGGTACTGAAATAGGCTGAATATCCTCATCTGAAGATGATACCATATCTCTGAATGTATCCCTCTCCAAGGACTCCTCAGAATATTCATTCTGCGCTTTAACAGCTTCTATGATGTCTTGAGATACCTCCTGTTTGATTGCATAATATACGGCACAGAGGGAGAAAAAGATTATCCTCAGGTAAGCCATAAAAGAAAAAGTCTGTCCTTCTGTCTAATTAGATATAGGGAGGAGCTATCCATTATTGTACTTCCATGGATATGGCCAGGAAATGTGTATACATGTGTATATACCACATAAATAAAAACATATAATAAAAAATAACACAGAAAACCTAATATTTGCCATAATGTGCTTATATACTGAACTGGACGTTGTGTGTAGAAAACTTCTATGATGCCTCCTGCCAGAGTATCACTCACTCAATGATGCCTGGGATGGCTGTGAGTGGTGAGCTTGGTACTGCCTACTTGCTCCTGCTCTCTTGCTGTGTTAATGAGGTAGGCAGAGCTTGAGCTGTGACCGGGCATAGCCGGCAGCATAGTCCAGGGTAAGCTATGGTGGGAGCGTACCCCGTGAAACTCCTCCCCTGTGAGTAATTAATGTGATTTTGGCTGATGCTTGCCGGTGAGGTTCCCCTCTGTGCCCGTGAGTTGGGGGGGGTTACTGGTTACTGCAGGACACCATATCGGTTGTGTGGGTAATTTTATGATATAGACAGTGTACCGGAGTACCCGTCTGTACTCACGGTACACATGGCTTGTAGGGCTGTGGAGCCGCAGTGGGGAATATCACAGACCCCCGTGGTGAGTTTGTGGGAGGTCTGAGTATGTGCGGCAACTCACGGCCGGAGACTATGATGGTCGGGTTAAATGGGGGGGGGGATTGGAAGCCGGTGAAGCTGGTAAATAAGAGTTTTGAGCTATTGTTGGGGGGGTAGTTAGGAGCCGGATCAAAGATGGGAGACTGTTCCAATGGAAATTTTTTAACATATAGTGCAATTACAACCAGATACAAATTACATTTGTGTTTTGAAGCCATATGATAAACCTCCTTGCTCCTGTGTAGGGGTGGGGTATACTGTTTTGCAAAGTACTGAGACCCCGGTGGGAAAACCGCGGACCCCCGTGATCTGGGTCCGTGGGGGGTCTACCGTCCCCCCTTTGTGTGAACAGTAGCCATGGACCTTGGTGGGTCAGGTACAATGATTCCAGTCTGCTTACTCACTGATCGGGCAGGAAACCACCATGGCGGGTGGAACGAGCCACAGGCGAGCTGTCGGGAGGAGGCTGAGACCTGCAACTGTCCTGAGAGCTGCCACGCAGTTGGTAGAAGCTTGGGGCACTGTTTTTTCCACACTGAAGGACACTCACTCACTCTACAGACTGGATGTGTAGGAAAGCTTTGTTCTTCTCAGGGAAGGAGTGAGTGGATCATCAGTCAGCAATTGACCTCATCTACCTTGACTTTTTTGTTACATTTGATAAACCATTTTGTAAAAATCTAGAAACTTAACCCTCTAAAAACCTTCTACTGCATAATGACATCACATGAATAGGTCTGAAGGATGATGACAGGTGCTTCATAAACATGTTGAGCACTTGATATAAGTTGGACAGACCAAAGCCCCCTAAACCTGAAATGGTGCATTGAGAAATAATGACTGTTGAGAGAGACTCATCTATTCTTTTGAGATATGTGAATGGCAATGTAACAGAGAATGCAAAATATAAATAATCAAGATGAATAGAATTCTTTTCCAGATTGACTACATCTTCTATATCTACTTTTACTCTTTGATTTTGTAGCTAATAAAGCATCAGAATTTGAGTCAAGCTGTGGCATAAAGAATTGGTTAGCTTTTGAATCTGGCAAGTTTCTACATAAACATTTCATATAAGTTTAAATTTTCTTCTCATCAAACTCCGCCATCTATTCTAGACAGCAGGACTTCTCTGTGGTTGCCTTATTTTTTAAGATATTTTCCCCCAGTTCATAGTCTTTAAAAAATATCCTAAATACCCACTTATATGAACTTATTGCATAATTCCATGCACTACATGATTATATTCATGTTTCACACATATAATCCCATGGTATGTTTCCTATACATATTTAGTGTAGCAATATTGTTTACTTCAAATAGTGTGTGAGGCTACCTTCTTTGAGATGTCAATCACCCAATTAGAACACTCTCTTCCTGGCTGGCAATATCAGCTTTGTTCAACTTATTCAACCATCTCAGCAAACAGATCACACACAGCATGCTAACAGCAGATGCCTTGGACAGGCTGCCCATGACTCAGTGAGCTACACACACACAGGGTTATTTACTAAAGTGATAATTGTTGTGAATTAAAAAGTATTCAAATTAATTAAATAAATTGCCAAAATGGAAACATAGCTGACTTAGATCATTTTTTCCAGTTCAGCCATTTTAGTCTTAAATTTCAAAATCCCTTTGAATTCAAGACATATCTCACTGAATTTGAAAACCCTGACAGTGCCAACGCTTCTGTTCTACAGCTTTTGACAATTTAATTAATAAAAGTATGTTTTAGCGCTTAGGAAATATTTAGGCAACTTGAACATTTATTTTTATTACTGAAAAATTATCAATTGTATGGATCTCTCTTTTTAAATATAGAATTTCACTTAATTGAAGTGACACAGAAAATTTAGAGCTTTTATCCCAGGATATCTCGTCTGATGACATTTTAGAAGCCAATAGATAAACACCTAGTGGTAAAGCATCTGGACCAGATGTCCAACTTTGCAATATTGTAAAACATTCCCTGCAATACTTTTGCCCCGTTTGACAACACTATTTTGCTATTATTGGCATGTGGGAGTTATGCCAGAAGAGGCCTTAAAAGCCAGAATAGTCCCTTTGCCATTGCCGGGAAAGTCAGCAGACAAATGTTCTAATTTTTGCCTAATCTCATTAATGAATAATGATATTAAATTATATGCTAACATATTATCGGACAGATTGGCTTTATTTGTTCCCTTGCATGTTAACAATTACCAGGTAAGATTTGTTATGGTCAGACAAGTACCAGATGGACCAGAAGATTCATTAATCTGATCCACCAAATTAAAATTAATCAGACACCTTCTCTCCTCCTATCTTTGGATGCTGAGAAGGCGTTTGATAGAATACACTGGGGCTATCTGAGAGAGGTGGTGGTCAG